CCCCCCTGAGGTGACATGCCAGGGTCAGACTCTGCAGACAGGCTCCACGTTCAGACACATAAGAGCACACATCCAACAAGCAGCGGCGCAACGTTCAGATCACAGATTCATCACCCCGTTGTGCCAAAGTGTCAGAAACATTCTTGTGCCGCTGGGCAAATGTTACCTCTGACCCCATGACTAACAAGCCCTTGTGATATTCGTTGTGTAACAGAGAGAGGAGGGTGGAGGGGTCAGAGTGGTTCAGCCCGGAGAAAAGAAACTGGAAATCAAATCTCAGACGACAACGATACGACACACTCGTGTGTTTTTACACAAACAGCACATTTCCACATTCTTACTCGCAGGGCTGGCTAAAAGATGACGCTGACATTTCCTTTAGCACAAAAACATGAACATGAACCTGCAGCCTTCAGTCATTTCTTCAAGGTGTTGAATAAAAACCTTCACATGTAAACACGCCTATGAATAAACAGAGACATAAATATAAAAACTACAGTAAAAACTGAGAATAGGAGGTGCCGTTTCTCGTAAAATCTAATAAACATGAAAACCTCTGTGAAAACTATTAAACATATAAAAAGCTGGGACTCTTCTTTTTGGAGGACTTTGTGAACCGATAGTTAGCTTTTTTTTTTTTAAATTAGTGAAACTTTGCCCCATTTATTAATGAAACTTATCCCATTTTTATTGAGACTCATTTACATTTCTTATTGAAACATGCACATTTTGTAAAACCTGTGTATCACTTTTTCATTTTGTTGTTTTTAAAAACGGACGAGAAGGGGGAAAACAAAATAAGAATTCATTACACGGTTTAAACATGCGTATATATCACAATACCTTTCTTGTATCTTGCATTTTCAAAAGTTTTTGAATAGTTTCTGAGCAAATATAAACTCAATAACGAGCACACAGATATTTACCAGGAGAGCATCTGCAGCTAAATTTGCTATTAATGTATATAAAAGAATGGAACTGAAGATCAAAACAAAGACAAACACTCTTTAAAGTCAGGGTTAAGTCGTTATTTCTTTCAGTTTTAGTTTAGAAGATTTTAAATGTTTGTGGACCGATACAAGTTTTTGATATTTGATCAGCTCCCACCTGCACCAATTATTCACATCATGCATGACGAACAGAAAATATAGATCTGCAGAAAAGGCTGTTTCTTTCAAACGGCTGTGATACGTTCAGTGACCAGAGAAGTATTATATTTGTGTGTGTCGACCAGCCCATCGCTGATCTTTGCTGTTCATTGTGTTTTCGGGTGCATTTCTATCAGCACGAAGACATTATTTCCCAATTTAATAGATTTTTCCAGTGAGGCTAGACTACTTTTAAAAAAAGGGTTTCAGTTTAGACTAATGTATTATATCATCTACCTTTTATAGGGATGCACGATATCGGCATGGTATCAGTATCGCCGATATTAGCGATAAAGTTAAGTATCGGACATCGGCCATTCCATCAACATAACTCTCCGATATAAAAGGTGCTGTTTTTTTTAAATATATATTATATATTTATTTAGTGTTACATCATTTTCAGCATCTGCATTTGGTAACAGGCCAAACTGACAAAGACCATGCAGAATAATGTAGTATTTTAATTCCACAGCAGAGAAAGCTGTAGTCTCTGTAAGTAGGTCTAGCGGAAAAATATCGGTACTGGTATCGGTTATCGGCCAAATTAACATATCAGCCAAAAATCCAATATCGTGCATCCTTCATTTTTTAAAAAAAAAGTTTTGTGCATTGCAAAAAAAAAAACAACCCCAGATGTTACAATAAAGTGTTTGTTAGAGCTCATTCACAACACTCGACAGAAACCGACATCCTAAAGAAAATCGAATGAGTCACACTGAAACAAAGAAATGTCAGCAAACATTTAAACGTGCTTCCTGTGTTTCCAACACCAAACCAGCAGCTCAGTGTGTCACAATCTTTATGATGCATCGGTCAGTCGAATTTGCTCGAATAACAGGCAACTAAATGTTCAGAATCTTCTATTATCAGGTTTATTGTTTCCATCACTGGCAGGTTTCCTGTTATTAAATTTCATTTCTTGAAAATTCAGGTTCATGGAGTCTTGAACATTCAGAAATGTGTGGTTTAAAGAACATTTTTCACTGCTGAGAGGGTTCGAAGGATTTACAGAAAACGATCTATATTTTGTTCTAATTAAAAAAAGGGTCTCTCTTTTCTGATCCTCCGAGTTTCATCAAGCTAACTGAGGTTCTACTTGGTCTACCTTTCACCCTCTTTAACTGAATAATAATCATTTTTACTCACTACGCACTGATCAGCCATAACATTACGAACAACTTACTGTTTACTCAGTCCCTTTTTTTCCCCATTAATACAGCTCTGACAAGTCAGAACAAAAAAGGCAAAAAAAAAAAAAAAAAAATAGAACTGTGGGCCCTGCGGATTGTTGAGAAAGATGCCAAGAATGAACTTGCTTTCCATCAGTGCCTTTGGATTCCAGAAATTTGGAGGCCAGGACTAGCCTGAGCCACAACACGCTCAGTATTTTTTTTGATTTTTCTTTGTACCTGGCACTACGAACCTGAAAGAAGCTGGTACCATACAACAAAAATCCTCCCCTTCAGGCACAGTGTCTCTATAGCAGCTCATTTAGTGCAATAAATTATCATTTTGCTGCCCAAACTGTGTAATGTATACATCATTTCACTGTATCTACAACAAGAGTATAGCAAAGAGTAAATCAGATGTGTACAAGTTAAAACTGTGTGTTATTATCTGCATACAAAGACTGACTTTACCAGGTGACATGTTAATTTATAATACATATATATATATATATATATATATTTTTTTTTTTACTTCAGTTTTGTAAATTATATAATTTGTGTAAATTATAAGTCAAATCCAACTAAACTGGAACATGTCATGATGCATTTGTTTTCAATATAATCGTTCACATTATTAAAGCTGCTATTACAGGGGAGATTGAAGAGAAGAAGAGCATTTTATGAGCTGCAACCTCCAAAAAGTTAACATTAGGCAGTCCTTTACAATAAAACCTGCAGCTGAAAAACAAGTCAGAAATATGAGCAGAAGCAGAGCTAGACGACACAAAGATGACAATCCCCCTCCTTTGGTGAAAATACAACAATGCCCACCTTCCCTCTACAAGCATGATCAAGTCTTCTGCAGGGCAGGGAATTTTGCAAAACTAATCCCTTCACACACGGGATAAAACCAATACGCTGATGTTCTACTTCTAATAAAACAAAGACACAAAAAAAGTGATGACGTCAGTTCTACAACATTACAAACCTTTGTGCTCAAGTCATTATTTATTTATTGGTAAATCATTTTTTCCTCAATCAAACAAAAAAAAAAGTTGTTGCATGTCTAATCTAAGGTTAAAAAATTCTGAAGTGCTTATAATTCTCTATGTAAATATACCCCATTGTTCACTTTACCAGATAGATATCATAATTTTATGGCTGTAAATATATCCACATACAGAAGGGTGTCCATCAAGCTAAAGGAGAGAGAACAGATGAGCGTTTACAGAAAGTTAAACTCACCCCTTCTTCTTCTCTGTGAGGGTTCAGCCTGTTGTACACTGCCTCTACCACACTCCGTCTGCAAACATAACACATGGACATGTTTCCTGATGAACAACGTAATGATTGAGAGTTTAATAGAACTAAAACGTTTTTTTTTGGGGGGGGGGTTTTGCGGCACTCAAAAAGCTCTGATGATTTTTAATAGGCTACAAATATCCTGTACTCAGAATGACTAAAATCCACTTTTTAACAGTGAATCTTCTGATTACGTTCTTGCTAAATCAAATGCTGATAGAGAACAACGCTGATTCATAACCTAATATATTTAAGCGGTTTTACACAAGAATCAAATATACCATAGTAAAGTAATTTCCGGACTATAAGCTGCTACTTTTTTCACAGGCTTCGAACCCTGTGGATTATACAACGCTGTGGCTAATTTATTTATTTATTTTTGACATGCTAACGAGCTTCATGCTGCTAAAAACATTTAGCCTCGTCACACCCGGGCGCTCGCATAGCTGCCCAATGCACATCTCTCTCGGGGGGTGGGTGCTCGTGACTCAATGAGATTAACTGTATAAATAAAGGTAAAAAAAAATAATAAAAATTGACCATTGTAATTACTGAACAGGTCACAGTCGACCAATGAAACTTTGAATTCCCGTAAATCAAACGCACTCGCACTAAGATCTTCAGATCAGTTATTTCCATGCAAAGACCCTCAACATGGAAAACACTAGGAATGTACGATATGGCATAAAATTCATATCACGATATGTATTGTGAAGGGTGGCGATAACGATATATATCACGATATGTTTTTGGTATAAAACTTGCAATAGGAATGAAAAAAAAGCATAGGGTGTCCTTTTACCATCATTTATTTTGAATTAAGAAAATTCCACTACTAGGTCCAGGACCACTTTAACTTTCAACAGAAAAAAAAAAAACCTTTTGATGGAACACAGCGTTTTGCGCATGCGTCCGAATACGACAAGAATACGGCAAGCCAGAAGACAGATCTCTATCGTAGGCTAGATTTCTATCGTTTCTACCGTGTATCATATATATCGCGCATTCCTAGAAAACACACAATAAAATGCTACGATATGATGCAGCTTTCAAGTTAAATGCGACTGATCTGGCGGTCGAAGAAAGAAATAGAGCTGCTGCACGTAAACGTGGCGTAAATGAATCGATGGAAACGGCAGCGTGAAGAACTGAATCAATGAAAAAAGACGACAAAAGCTTTCGGAGGTATTAAAAAAAACATAAAAACGGCAGATGGCCCGAACTTGAAAACATTCTTGAAGACTGGGTGAGCACACAGACAGCAGACGGCCGAGGTGTTTCCACCGTGCAGATCCGATTAAAAGCCAAAACAATCAAACAAGACCGAAAATTTTAGAAGTGGACCATCGTGGTGTCTCAGATTAATGAGACGAAAAGGCCTGCGTCACAGAACATAGTGATCAGTAACTTTTCCTCGTAAGCTACTGAATTTATAATTTATTTATTTATTTTAACCAGCTGTGTTGCAGGCACTGTTCAGAAAAATAAATAATTTGCTGAACGTATTTAATTAAACGTTTTAAAAGTCATGCTGTGCAACATCTTTCTGTGTAAATATCTCAAGTTACAACGTGGACACCCGTAGCTTATAAACAAGCGCGGCCCTATATATGTACAATTTTGTGTGTGTGTGTGGGCATGGCTTATACGCAGGTGTGCTCAATAGTCTGGAAATTACAGTAAGTTTGACAATATTTCAGACAGAAAATAAACATTTTGAAGTCTTTTTTTTTGGTTTACAAAAATCTAAACAGTGAGGTTTCTTTTTGTTTCAGACCTTCTGTGAAGCGCTTTTTCCCAATTCTTGCTTCTTGACAATTTTGAAAAATTGACATTGCCTAAATAACAGTTTAACTCAGAACTGAATTATTCAACAAACAGAAAAATAAGAACTGTTTTGTTTAACCGCAAATACATAAAATTGACTGTCAAATGTCAACATGTGTAAATTTCTTTACATCAGATACGAAAACATCTTCAAGAGTTAGACAACTAAAATAAGCCTAATAAAACATTTTAAAACTATTTCCTTACAAAATCATTGGTCTTTGCAAAGAGACAGCAAGAAGTTTAGACTAAATCTTTAAAGCAGAATTTGGACTTCCATTAATGTTGGAAAGGATGAAAGTTGCACTTAAGAACAATAAATATTAATTTGCGTATTCATTAGGATTAGGCATTCCTTCAAAACGAATTATACTTTCATTATATCTACATATCTACAGTAGTCCCTCGCTACTTCGTGATTCGTTTATCGCGGACTCACTCTATCGTGTTTTTTCAAAATAAGACTGGACATGAGACACAACTGGCTGATTGAAGGATGAGCCACTTGATCGGCATGACATTTTTATTTAAAATAAATTATTTTAAATTATTTAGCACCTGCTGCACATTTGTGCAAATCAGCGCTGCAGAAAAAGCTTCTTCCTGCAGCTTTGTGCAGCCCAGACTGCAGCAGGATAAACTTCCTGCCGCAGCTGAACAGCTGATCAGCTGCGGAGAAGTGTGTGTGGCCAAGTGCACTTGCAGGTGGCAAAGAGCAGAGGAGGCAGGGAGCTGAAATCATGACATGCTGTGCTCTTTTAGAACGTTAAGAGTTTAGAAACATTGTTTAGAACATTGCAAGAGGGTGGGAAGTGTTTAAAATGCCTTAATATCTGCTGGTATATATATATATATATATAAAAATAATAAAATAAACTACTACTTACTACTTGTACTACTATTCCTACTTCGCGGTTTTTCACTTATCACGGGTCTTCAGGGTACAATCCTCCGCAATAAACGAGGGGCTACTGTATATCTATATCACTGGTATACTGTACATGTGTGTGTAAAAAATCCACTATTGTATATTTACTTGCTGGCCAGGCCTCCACCAGGTGGAAGGTTAGGGATGTTCTCTGAGGCAATAGTCCTTAGGACAGACACCAGGTCAGGGACTCCCGTATCCCCACAGTTACCCAGAAGCTCTACAAGCAAATACAGAAGGTAGAGAGGAAAGGTTGTTACAGTGTGGCAATAATATAGTTAACTGCACACTACACTGAGTTTTAAGGCTCAGTCACCACCGTACGCTACAGAAACTGAACAATTAACAAATCAGCAGAAATAAGATTATGTTGCATCTTGCCTGATGTGACATAAACCCACAGCCTGCTTCTTTATAACTGTTGTAATATTTTGAAACATGTTTAACTGAATGTGTTTATTCAAAGTGCTGACCCTCAACACGGGTTTCTAGATTTTTATCCAGCTCCTCTTCCTTCTTCACAGCCTCATCAGAGATTTTGGGAGCTCCAGGCAAACACACCAGCACCACGCTCATGTTGTCCCTGCTCCCCTGCACAAAGAAAACAGACATCAGTCACTGTACAGTTCAATAGTATCAAATGCAAATATTATACTAACAAACAGATTATACTTTTTAAACCAGTGAAACCACAAGTATTTTGATTAAATGCGTCTTAAAAAGACACGGTTACAGACATAACGTTCCCTGTTCTGGTTTGAAATCAATATGTGGCTTTTTCTGTTAATATTGTCGGCAGCTAATTTATGTTGAACGAGAGTTTAAATGTTCGAGATTTACTTTCATCATCCTAAAATTTTTGAAGCTTTGTTTTACCGCCAAACTTATGACTTAAAACACGAAGAAAACAAACATTTCCTCTCTAATGAGCAGTTTTTAAGTGAGGTGGTCTTCAGTTTGTTAGTTCGATCTAATAATTATAATTTTGTTATTTCACAAGCTCTGAAAACAAGAACTTTGCACCTTGTTTTGCAATGTTTTTATACTTTAGTCTTGTCTAACAAACTCAGCGTGGCTTTTTTCTTAGTGGTGTGCCGTTACCACTCCCTGAAAGCCTAAATTTAATCCATACCAGGCTGTGGCATGTTTCGAGCTTTACAAGCCAGCATCACATGCAATAAAATAAAATAAAATTAAAGCAGGCAGTTTAGCTGCTGGGAAACACTATGACCGAATGTTGGATAACAACTGACAACAATTACACAATGCTTAAGTTAACGACAATTTAACTTAACTACTTTAGATCGTAACCATAAAAACCATGACTTCGGTCCTAACAAGAGTTTCCTTTACAATAATGACAGAGAAGCAGGAATGAATTTTATTTAACTGCATTTTGCTAACAGAAAAAGGCAGAGGAAAATATTATTTAAAGCACTTTACCAAAGAAAACATTAATGAGCAAACATTCAGATTAAAAAAAAAAAAAAAAGTAGAATCTTGAAGACCTGCTTGTTTGTTTGAAGTTAGCTGTGTGGAAAACGTTCCCAGCCGTTATCTACGGTAGAAGCTTATTGAGGAAAAGGGTGTTGTATGGCAAACATTAAATAATTCACACTTAACTATGTAAACTTGGCAGGCCAATTGGGTATCTTACTGATAAGCTAAATGATGTTTCACGTTTTATTTGTTTAATATTTTCACATAATGAGACTTTACTCAGTAGGTCAAATTAACTGAAGTACACTCCTTGGTTTAGTTGTCTTTAATGACATTTTCTTAACCCAAGACCATTGTGAAGTTTATTAATTTGTTTGGTAGGACATTGTTTTACAGTTACAAAAAGTAGATACAAAAAACAGCACAATGTGATTTTTTTTTTCTATTTTATTGCAAAGAACTTACCATTAAGACCCTTACTACTAACAAATATCTCAATTGCAAATCTAAAAATGTGTTTACAAGTACTGTATAAATTTGTAAGAAAGAACATGCATTCAACAGACCTTTTAAATATTTTCTTGTGTTACAGAAAGTATGGTGATTGGGTGGAGACATAAAGATGGCTGCCATATATAATTCTTTGTTTAAAAAAATGTATATGCTTAATTAATACAGAATTTTTATTTACAAGCTCAACTATGCCATATGATTTTTTTTTATTTAACTTGCTGCCATATTCATGTTGGAGTAAGTTACTAGAAAATATTTCAAGTAATATTAAAGTTTCACAGCTTTTTTTTACTTGTTTGGGACTATAGGCAATTACTTTGATTGTTTGCTCAAATTAAATAGTTGGGTTTACCTATGAAAAGTGCTCTGAGATTAAAAAAAAATAAAAAAATTTTTTAGACAAGCTAGTCATAATAAATGGGCTGATCTGGAAGTTATTTTCTGGATTTGTGGTTAAATCATTCTTTGAGAAACAGCTGTTTAGAAAGTGAAGTGGTCACGGGTTTGTTTCACATGTTTGAGTAAAACCATTAAGATAATTGGTTCTGACAACACTGATGGTTCAGCTAATTGTTGCAGCTAAATTACCAATATAAAAAACACGAAGTCAACTAGCCTTATACATGCTGGCTTATGGCCGCTGAATGACCCCGAACATTATAGTAGATATCTTTTACAGGCGACAGTAACAGAAGACAGAGTCCAGGCCTTCAGCAAAATAAACCGTCATCTTCTCACTACAATGAAGAAGTCGATGTGTTCCCTGTAATTTTCTCTCGGTGTCCAGAAACACATACGTCACAAAAAAAGGCGACAGTAGAGAAGATTTAGGATTGCCTGTCTCTTGTACTTGAGATAACCCAGTGAGGTAAAAATAACTTGTCTGCTGTGCACACGCTGCTTCTTGGTGTATTACAAACAAAAAAAGAAGTAAGGAAGGTAAAAATCTACAGTGAATGACCTGAATGATTCACGTTGGATGCTTGAATGAAGTGCATGGAAAAACTTTTATTTACTTTGATTTAGTTGGTGAGTATGGATAATATCAGACTCTGTTTCTAACAGTGATTTTTAGTTAGAAGGAATTGTAAAGGCATGGTCTGATACAAACTACTTTAAGCAAACTTACTAATAAAAATGAACCAAGTTTAGTGGTACATTCTATCATAATAAAATAAAAGACAAACTGAAAAAAATACATATTACGTATGCCTGATAAAAAATGTACACAGCACAAAGAAAAATGACTTACCTTGTGAAGGCAGGTGTCCACCACTGAGTTACAGACCTTCTCCAGGTCATCACAAACCTGCAGTCGTGAGCGGACAAACTCGCACAGCTCTTCGTTGGACATGACATCCCAGATCCCGTCACATGCTAGAACCACAAACTCGTCTTCGGCTGCCCGCTCTAACACGCAAACCTCGGGTTCAGGGCTCACCAACTGCTCCGTGGGGCCCTTACCATCCACACATTTGTAGTCGTAGTCCCCAAGGGCTCGTGACACAGCCAGGGAGCCGTTTACCCTTTGGATCATGACTGAACCGCCAGCATTCTGGATGCGTTCCTTTTCACGAGGGTTGCAGGGCTTGTGGTCCTGGGTGGAGAAGCCCACCTTGCCGTCTCGACACAGAACGGCTCGCGAGTCGCCGCAGTTAATGAAGTAGAGGTGAGTCGGGCTGAGCAACACGCACACGGCTGTCGATCCGCTGCGGTCCAAGCCCTGCCGCAGATCCGTAAAGTTGCGCATATACTCGTCAATGTTCAGGAATCCTGAGCGGATCCCGTCCTTCACGCCTTCCACAGTGCTGGGGCCGGAACCAAACTCAGCTCCTCCTGACAAGATGTGTTCCAGCAGGTGCCCAGAACAATAGTTGGCCACCCGCGAACCTGCATGGCCATCATAGACAGCAAAGAACGACCAGTCAGCGAGTCCATGGGGAAGGCCCACCACAGCTGTGTGGGCGTCCTCCATTTCCACCCGCCAGCCCTGCATGGAGCTCAGGCCGTAGCGTAGCCCATTACCATCGCCATGGGCGCTATGCTTCTCAGTCTTCGGCTTGTCCAGGAATGCACCCATTGCTGCCTACAACTGGAGATTGGACAGGAGAAGAAGAGAAACACGGTAACTAAACTTTTCACAGTCCACAACACACTGCTGTACCGTAAATACTCAAAGTACAAGCAAACAGCGCAAGAGCGATAAAATAAGTGGACATGTCTGCGAATATGAGCTTTTTACATTTATTCTGTATACGTTGCCAAAGTAACATTAAGCCTAAGTGTGAGCGGTTTTTAGATTTAAAAAAAAACATTTAACATAAGAACCTAATACAGTCTGTTCGCTGCATTATTAATAACAAACTGCACAGTTCAAGTAAAAAATAACATAAAATGTGGGATGTTTAAACTCCAATGTGTTGTGGTGTAGTTACAATACAGCAATCTTTATATTTTTGACTGAACTTGAAGAAACCAGCATTTCATACTTAAATACTAATAAAAGGACTTATCAGATCACGAGACTTTTCAGATTGCTTAATTGTGTTTTTTAGAATTTTCTCAACTTTGTTCTCGTGTACATGGGAGCTGGATCAGTGTTGCATTACTACACACAAAAAAACCTAAAGAAGTAAACATTTAAAAGTGTGGTTTCAATACACAACAGTTAATTCAGATAAAACCCAGTGTCCAATCAGAAAGAGAAACACAGATAATGTCAACCAGTTTGAAGTACAGTAGTTATGCCCCAGTGGCCCATTGTTACGGATCAAGGTATACAATACGCACAAAAATGTCAAAATTTATTATATTTGTCTTCTGCTTACTGATAAGCTTTCTTTGTAAAAAAAAATATATATATATACAGGGACTTCAAACAAATTATATTTAAAAAAACTGTTTAATGGAAATATGAACATTTCGGAAGTCATTTGTAAGTAAAAGTTTGTAATTGAGACTGGAGATGTACCGTATTTTCCAGCCGATAAGTCGCATCAGTCCAAAAATGCCTAATAATTTGGAAAAATCAATAAACAAGTCGCTTCGCCGCATAAGTCGCACCTATTATGCATCACTGCAGACGCATCACGTTTGTTACACATCACCACTGACGACCAGGAAATGTGGGCCAGTGTTGTGCCAAAAATAGATTGGCTGCCAAATGGCGGCCGCGGGAACATGCACAGGAGGACTTTAACAAGAATTTAACAAGATTAACACTTAAAAACTATTATTTGTTTGCTCTAAATTATAGCAAATATGTGTCTCAGTCTAACTTTTCCTTAATAAATTAACTTTGACAGTCAAATCAGTTACATTTCAAAAGCCGATTCGCGGAAGTGGGAGCGCGCAGAGGGACGACTCGCTGTGCATTTCTTGAAAATTTAACAAGATAAGCGCCTAAAACAATTATTTGTTTGCTTGACATTATAGCAAAGGTGTGACTCAGTTGAACTTTTACTTAATAAATGCACTTCAATGGTCAAATAGCTGCATTTCGCCATGGCGGCGCAGCAAAATGAAGCTGATTTAACTGTTGCTCCAGCTGGACGAATATGGCAGGCTATGGCAAGCCAATTGTGTCATTAATAGCCACTTTTACCTATTACATGACACAACAGCATGCCGTACTACTCAAGTGTCATCTAGCGGCTGAAAATGTTAACGTTCAATATTTTCAATGTCAGAATGAATGAAAACAGTCATATCTCGGTCAAAATCGGTTTATAAATATGGGAAATAAATCTATAAGTAAGTCGCTTCGGTGTATAAGTCGCAGGGCATGCAAATTAGGCAAAAAGGTGCAACTTATAAGCCGGAAAATACAGTAGCTAAGCAAGAAACATAAAACGAGAAAGACCAACTGAACAATAAGAAAATAAGTCACACATTTAAATTGACTTTTTTAGTTTTTTCCCCCTCAGTGTCTTAAACACGCATTTTAATGAATGCTTCTAAAATATAGACCGTTTGTATTAATATTGATGCTTTATTATTTGTCTTGTTTTATTGCATCACACAAAAGATGATGAAACCAATAAAAAAAAGGAATAAAAAACACTTTAAGCCATACTTTCCACATAAGCATGCATGTGCCCAAAAAAGGCTGTTACATGCGACGTTGGGTTTCTGAGGGAAGGTGTGTTTGCATCTGCTCTGCGCATGCGTGCAGTGTCACAGTCAGTGTGTGTGAAAACGACGCTCTATTAATACACCGGGCTGGTTCGGATTTCATGACCGGCGTGAGACGGCAAGGACAGACCATTCACATTTCTCCTTTCTCACCACATGACGAAATCGGTAAAAGAACTGTCGCAGTTACCACTTTGAGGTTGTCTCTTTTTTTTTTTTATGTGCAAGTGTTTTCACGTGTGTGCGCGTGGGAAAAGACAAAAAAATATATAATTTTGTAGCATCACCAGCAGTGATATTCTCTAAAAATAAAACAAACACACGGACATCGCCTAGCAACCGCCCACCCTGCAGTGCAAACATCCAAGCTAAGCTTCATTCAGCAAGCCCCACCACCACCGCCTTTCTCTCACATGCTTAAAAAAAGAGGTGCACACAACTCTGCTGCTTGGCAGAGAGCGGAAAGGGGAGTTGCATCATCCAGCCATTAAAGCACTTGCAGCAGCCAAATCCTGAAAGGTGCCATGCAGACTGCTAGAAGACACCAAGATACTGTGAGATTTCACTGACTGCCCATGATCTCACATACAAATGAAATATATATTAAAAAACACCCTCACATAACAGAAATGCCTGGAAAATATCTCCATTGTGGCATCAGAAACTAGAAACTCTCATCCGCTTAACCCCCTACAAAACTCGCCTTAACGCTGCAACCACAGGTCGAAACTTAAAACTGACACTCGTCTGCCAAAAACCACTGCCTTTCGAGAGGGAAGTGGAACGTCAGAGATTACATAATGCTGCGGAGAATCCAAACGCTGTTGTGAAAACGAGCACGTTTACACAAAACGGCTAAGGCTACCCTGGGAGAAAGAATAACAAACCGCCCTTTGGAACAATGTGATGAAAATGTTAAAATTGAGTTGGTTTTCATGTAAAATGTCTTGAAATGACTTATTCTCATAAATAATATTAAAATAATCTAAATTAGTGTATGTTTACTTGTTATTGGGCATTTCAAGCTAAAGTACTTAATGAAAAGTTCTAGCAGTCCTTAAAGGAAAGAATATTGCCGGCCTGTTGAGAAATGACAGTTGTAGCTGTTTTGGTCAAATCTTGAAAATAACATTAAGGGGAATTTAACACTGTATTGTAAATGGCTCTCAGCTACTACCACATCCAGTTTAGTTCAATGTCTTATAAAGTAAATAAATATATAATAAATAATCCCTGAATCTAAACAAAGTCAGAGGTTGAGGTACATTCACCTCCAATCATTTATTAATGTAGAAATTGTGTTAGAAGCATAAAAATGTAAATAAAAACACTGAATAATTGCATATATTGACATATATTATATATTTAAACTTTGTGTGTGTGTGTGTGTGTGGGGGAGGGGTATCCATACGAATAAAATGATGACTTGAAAGTTATGGAAAATGGTAGTTAAATATGGCATGATCATATGGTATTTTTTTATGTATTACATAGTGAAATGTACAGTATGGAATTACATTTGGAAAAACAGCATTACATTAAGCCAAAGCGGAAGTGGCCCGAATCACATAATAATAATAATAATAATTTATTTATAAAGCACTTTAAAACAACCGCAGCTGCCACAAAGTGCTGTACACATAAAATCAAGAAAACTTAAAACACATAAAAAATAAAACAGTTGTTAAAACATTAAGATCAATAAAAAAAACAATAAACATTAGAAAAAAATTGAATTACATTTGAAAAAATTGAATGACATAAAAAATTTTAAAAACGGAATCACATTTGAACAAAACGGAATTACATTAAGCCCAACAGGAAGTTGTTTTTTTTTTTAACTTTATTAACAGCATAAAACCGAACAACAGAACAACAAACAGTACACACACAACAGAGATACAGTTGGCAGGCTATCCTTTTAACTGTATCTCCGTTGTGTGTGTACCGTGTTGTTCGGTTTTATGCTGTTAATAAAGTTTAAAAACAAAACTTCCTGTTGGGCTTAATGTAATTCTGTTTTTTCAAATGTTGTTCATTTACACCTTTAGGGCCACCGTAGAAAGGAACTAGTTGAAAGCAGCTAAAAACTCCTAAGAGTTTGTGGGGACGACAGAGGAGGATACGCGAGTCACTTTTCATCCCTGCGTCTGAAGAAGCCTCTGGAACAGAACAACTTGTAAAACGTTTGTGACAAACGCCCCAAAGAGACGAGCGTCCTCCCAAGGCAAGTAACCTAGAGGAAACACCAAATAGTTTATCTTGAATACACACCTTCCTCCTACATCTACTTACACACCTCGAGGGAATGGTACGGTCATATTTTTATACATAAAGAGCAATATTTTACGAATACGCAACAATTTTATTTGTTTTCGCCTTGCATCCACATGAAAACGGCGTTTAGAACGTGCAAAACAATATTTTTAAAAACTGTTTCAGAGTAAATAATTAGTGCTTGATTTTTTTGTGCAACAGCCAAAACACCGTTTCAAATTATGTCATAGTCCCGCCTCCCGCCTAACCTACTATCCTAAGCATAACATTGCCTTGAATAAAGAAGTGGAAAAATAATCTTGTATTACAATAAGTAATCTCTGTTTGTATCACTTTATTGAACGGTCAACAATACTAAAGCAAACGTTACAGGTAAAAAAAAAATCAACAACATACATAAAATCCATTTAAAAATTGTGATAAATGGGAATAGTTTTAAAGACAGACACTTGAGTTTAAATAATTTAGAATGTATGAATTGAACATCTTGAGGAAAACCCTCCTGGGCCCAAAGCGTCCCTTATGTTCACATATTTGAACGGACTCAAATCCCAGTCAATAGTAGTTTAATGTGAGACGAAAGAATAGTTCTGCTTCACTGTCAGTCCACAAAAAAAAGGATTTAGGATTTCTTTTTTATTCGCCATCCTTTTTTCCCTTGTGTTTACAGTTCGGAACGCAAGCTCCACACCCGTTTTCAGTGTATTTTTATGTTTACGGCAGAGCTGTAATTTCAAAATGCATATTGTAAATGTGACTCCAATTTATTCATCTATCAGAACCTACAAGTTTATATTTTTCAGTCTCCAGGTGGGTAAATCGAGCACCGTGCATCTGGTGAAAGCGCCAATACGATACAAAGGTTTATGTTAGAAAGGGAGCTGGAAATCCACACAAACAAGTGTCTGGACAAGCCTGGGGTAAAAACATGTTTTGAACATGTAAAAAAAAAAAAAGGTCTCTCAAAACAGTAAGAGTTGTTGCGTGCATCTTTAACCCATCTCAATTTTGTCAATTTTTGCAGCCCGCTCTTGTTATGACAATAAACATGTCCAGGTATTAAAAACACACCAATAATAAATAATATGAATTGAAAAACTGGTCCGACTTTGCCTATCTCCATATTAAAAGTGTACTCTTGTAAATAAAAATGATAAACGTGGGGGCAGCTGCCAAGGTGGGTATAAAGTGGGACGAGGTGAGCACGATTTGAATGGTGGTGGGCAACAATAGTGCGTAGCCTAGAATACAGTGGAGATGTGATGTTTGTGAACGATCCAGATCGTTTGAAAAGCTCGTTACAACGAACGGTAAGAATTAAGTTGCAGAGTAATGAACTGTTCCTAGTTTCTTTTTTTGTTCTCCTTGTAGCGAGAAGTGCAGCAGCGCAGGAGTGAGGGGGCTTCCCCACTTGACCAAACATGTGGTATGACCCGGACGGCGTACATGATGACGTCACTGTTGTTCACAATTGAACAGCTCCATTGAACGACTGTGAAGCAAACAAATGGTCAAGATCCGGTTCCCTTCAAAGAGCTATATGTCCCATCTCTAGAATACAGTGTTGCAAGCCGTGCACACGAAAAAGGCTGGGATTTTTAGAAATTGGTCACGTTTACGGCTCACTGGCGATTTGGTCACAATCACTCAGAATTCAGTCTGACTGCAAGAAAAAGTTAGCCTTTCTTCTTACAACTCTGAGTCGCCAATTACTCTCCAAACGTCAGATACAGGCTGACCGAAGACCAAAAACGAGCAAGATACATCACTTTACAGGACAGGTGATATATGTGTATTTTTGAATTGGGAGAGACCTTTCAAAATTAAACTTTAATTGAAAAATTTCCACTTAACAAAAAGGTAAATTACTCATTCTAGACTTTACTTTTATAAATAATTCATGAGTTACTGAGCTTATTAATTTCCCAATTTACCACAGATGCTAAGCATCTTTATTTACTTTATAAGAAAGAAGCAGAAAATTTGCACAAATAAAAACATAACTGAAGCACGTTTGAGCTTTTAATTTCTAATGAGCCTAAACACACGGGCATTGATAAACAATAACCTGTGAACACAAGAACTTCAGTTTTAGATTGATCTGCATCCCCGTGTGCAGGCTCCAAGTGGAAATTCCCAAAGCAAAGGAATAATTTAAGAAATCACTAAGATAAAAATACAAATTTGAGATGAATATGTATATGTATACGTGTATATGTGATATGTATAGAAGCACAAATGTAGCAGTAATTTGAGACTTTAATGCTGAAGCTAATCACATGCACTTGCATTGGCATTGCCCTGTGTCAAGGTATCTGTAGTGTCCATATGCAGCCAAAAAAATAAACATTATGTAGACTTTAAAGTGTTACTGGCCAGGACCTATGCCTTGTTTCTTAATAATAAAGGAAGACACTCACTTGCACTGAAATTCAATGTGCATTCCTTTCCTCGGGCTCTGCCTCTACAAGAAGCTTTAAAATGTTCAGCTAAGCAGAGACATAATGACGCAAACTACAACTGTTTAAGAAAACAAACACTGCCAGGTGAACAGGGGCATACTGACAACGAAAATAGCATCAAAAACTACTAGTCTAGTTTTAGTCATCGGTGACCACTGTTTTTAATCTCTTATGAGGAAATACATAACATTCCTTGAAGGAATGCATATTGCCAGCTGCCATTCATGCCAGTATTATGAACTAAGATTGTCTTAGATTGAAAAATAGGACATGAACAGGTTGGAATCAAAATTGGCGTCAGAGAGCTGAGGCCAATTTGGTCAAACTTTTAAACACTGCAACCTCATGTGACACGGTGAGAGCTCATGTGATCTTGCACGATTTATTAAGAGGTTGAGACTGACTCAGCTAACACTACACCAAATTTTAGCACAGTTTTCTGTAAATGTAACAAAGTGCTGGAAATGTTTACGCTGGTTCAAGTCGATTAGCTTTGGCGTCCATTAACGGATTGACACAAAAAGATAATCAATCGCTACTAGAGGACAAATTGACCTCATTTCCTTAAATAAATTGAATAGTTTTCATCTGATACTATTTCTATCTTAACTTGTGATTCTTGACCTGCCATTATGCATCTGTTCCTACCAAACCAAATTGGGGGAGTGGTGGCGCAGAGGTTAGAGAAGGTGGGCCTGTGATCGAAAGATCGCCGGTTCAACTACCGGTACTGACAACATCAAAATGTGGGTGCACAGCTGCCCCCACCCTTATTCACCCCACTCTGAGCCCATGAGCAAGGCCCTTAACCCCCATCTGCTCCCTAAACAGGTCTTGAAAATGAGTTCTCGTGGCTCAATGAGACTACCTGCATAAATAAAAGCTAAATGAAAAAAATAAAAAACAGCCAGTGGAAGCAGATGGCCGCTTGTCCTGAGCCGAGTGCTAGAGGTTTCTTTCTCATGAGGGAGTTTTTCCTTTCCACTGTCGCCTTCATGCTTGCTCAAAATGAGAGTTCTGCGATTAAGCTAAATTCAAAGCAGTCTGCTCCTCAGATAAATAATGTTAAAATATTATTTTTATATATGAATGTTTTGTAAATTATTATTTTTATATATGAATGTTTCTGTTCAGTGCCCTGGGATGACTTCTGTTGTGACTTATAAATAAATGGATTGAATTGAATTTTAAGTGTTAGACAATAACCAGCACAACACATTTATTATTAAAACATATATTCTTTAAGTCTCAAAATATATTTTAGCAAACAAATACCCCCTTGACTAAATTTAATTTCACTCAAGCGCTAACAGTTTATTTCCATGTAGTAATCAGCATATTTATGAACGCGTGCATGTTGACAATGAGAGATGGCCATTTTGTATTTTTTTTGTCTCAAGTAAAACAGATTAATTTTGTCTAATCCAATAACTGTTGCTACATCTATGTGGTCCATTTCAAATGATAAAAAATATAAAAACCTGCGGACGCTAAGTAGTTGTTAGCCTGTTATAGCTATAACAGGCTAAATTAGCTCACCTGGGAACGGACTAAACACTTAAAACCAGACTACCACTTTTCTGTTCATATTAGTACGATTAAAGGATGAGATAAATTTGATTTTACGGTAAGCTAAGGTAGACAAGAGAGACCGAAGTTCAGATGTTTCTGTTTATTTACGACGCGTCAGTCTGTTCACTTAGCATACACGAAGTTATTAGATTTTAGAAATGCGTGTTTGTGCTGAAAATTGCATTTCGGACACGAACAGAAACAGTTAAAACTGCTCCCTCCATGCCAAGGCCTGCTTGGCTTATGTGTTAATGTGTGCTAACGTTAGCTGCCATGCTATTGTTAACTTATAGCTCCACGGCTTGTCAAACTCGGGCTAATGACGTTAGCTAAGCATGCTACTTACGTTTTCCTGCTGTTATGCGACTGTAGATCCAATCTTGGTATTCTGACTCTGCTTTTTGGTGAAGATATGTCGTTAAGCAAGCTCTCTGCGGAGGTAATGTTAGCCAACTAGCTGTATTACGTTTCTTTATTTAACAAAAAAATAATCGAGATTGGCCTCAGTAGAGCGGCGGTAATTCGTTTCTCGGTGGTTCCCTGCTTGGACAGCGTTGATTTTTACGCATGTTGGACGCCAGTTCTGTCTCTCACATTGAGTGAAGACAATTGCGATCGTTCCTAAACAAATAAACGGAACCTGAGACTTGGTTATATTATTATACTACACTGATAAATCTAGCACTTTAGTCCATTGAAAGGCCACAGAGCTATCCTTCGACTTTGGGTGCTGAACAAGAGGAGGTGCTATTTTTGGCATCTGGGCCGTGATTGGATAAAACGTCTGGGCAAAACATTTTTTAATTGGCTGAATACTACGTCAGTTAGCTCTGCCCCTGTTCATTACACGTTCTCATTGGTCTATTGCAAAATTCTACTATAAACTAGAGATGCGGGATGCACTCGAAGCTGTCGCTAGCGTACGCCGAAGTATTACTGCATGGGCGGAGACAATCTTTAAATAGTAACGTTCGATTTCGAGGCTAAAGCCGATTGACCCCATCCAGTTGGACACACTTTTAGAAACACATGTAACAAAACAGTGTTGCTTTCAAAACAAAATGGGATTTTTAATTTTAATTTAAATTTTTTTTAATGTTTGATAACTGTCAAGGAGTATCTCAGACGTGCCGAAGGTAATAACAAGCGCGGCATTACTTTAGTGAGTCCCCATTATTTATTTTATTTTCCCTTTATTTATACAATAAAAATAAATGTTAAACGGTACAGTACTTATGGAGGGTGGAATCTGATAAATAAACACATAATAATTAAATGTATAATTTATTTAATAAATACATAATTAAATATACAATAAAATTATTAAATACACAAATAAGTATTAAATAATTTATTTGATTATTTAATTATTTAATGATGTATTTATAATTAAATGATGTATTTATAATTAATATAATTTTGTCACATCCCACCCTCCACATGAAAGATGCTTTAAAGATTTTTTTTTATGAAAAATTTACTTAAGATAAGATACTTATTAGAAGTTTTTCATCTTTATCTCAAATTATTGCATTTGTTGTTTTACAGTTTGCTGAGTGCATCGTAGCTCTCCAGAGGCTTTTGACAACTCTTTACAAAATATAAATGCAATCAGAGAGCAGATTGTTTTCTGCCTCTTGGAAAAACAGGTGCCTTCCTGAAATATTATACAGTACA